TGGGATCAGGGGGAAGAGAGTGTTAGCATGAGCTGTAGGGGTCAGAGGTTAAAGGGCATGGGGCGTAAGAGTGGAAGTCAAAGGGTATTAGGCACTGGGGAGCAAGGGGCTGGGTTGAAGCTAGGCAGTCAGTAACATTTTATATGTATATTTATTATGCAAATAATGAATATGCAAATAAAATGTTATCAGTCCACCAAACGTTTGTGAATGGGTTTGCCAGTCTATAGCGTTAAAATGGTTGGGAACCACTGGGGTAGACATATCCTTATAGAGTATCCACAGTGGGTATGTGAGTGAGAGGGTTATACTGGGCCTGGTCTCTAAGCAGGTTTTGCACCAGTAAAACTAGGTCAGTTAGGGGTGTGATTTGTTACAAAACAATTATACCTATACCTTTATTGGTTTAAATTCATACTGTAAGTTAAACCAGTGTAACTTTCTCATGAGAACAAATCTCTAGCCCAAAAAACAACAAGTAGTCCTGTGGCATCTTAGGGCATGTCTACACAGCAGGGCTGAAGTTGAAATAAGCTACGCAGCTTGAGCTACATCACTTGAGTAGCTTAAGTCGAAATAGCTTATTTCAACTTTTGGCGCTGTCCACACAGCAGGAAATCTGAGAAAGATCACTCTTTCTCCAAATTCCCTTACTCAGAGCCACTTAGGAGCAGGCCATCATTTTCAAGGGGCCACTGACAGATGGAAGCCCGCTCGGGACACACGGCAATTAAAGGGGGCCACGACCACATTTCGGACCGACCTGACCTTTTTTTTCCTTCTCTCAACAACTTCTCCCTGGTGGATGCCCAGGGCCATCAATTGGTTAGGACCAGCCCTGCCGTTACTCCTCACAAAATGAGGGTTACAGGAGTCAAAGTAAGAAGTCCTCCAGCTCGACATTATGGCAAAATAACTGCTTGTAATGTAGACGCGTACTATGTTATTTTGGAATAACGTGAGTTATTCCAAAATAACACTGAACGTGAGTTATTCCAAAATAACACTGCTGTGTAGACATACCCTTAGAGACTAACCAAAAGATACTTTTAGTCTCTAAAGTGCCACAGGACTACTCATTGTTTTCAAGTTATAGACTAACACGGCTACTCCTCTGAGACCTTTAAACATGCTCTAGCACTATTGTAGTACAGCTACAATAGTACAACCCCTCCAGTGTGGACACAGTTACATCAATATTAAGATGCCTTACCCCACTATTGCTTATTTCCGTTTCCTGATGGGAATAAACCTTTCTGGTATAAGCACCTTTATATAGGTTGGACCTTCCTGGTCTGGCACCTTCAGGACCTGACTGGTCCCAAATAAGGGCTTTTGCAAGATCAGGGGTAGTCATTTCTGGCCCCCCTGCTGCCGGCCCCATCCTTTGCCCTTCTACCCCACTGTCTTGATAATAGGGGGTTTGTTTTATGTAGGCAACCTAATAACCCGCACCTTTATTTTTTTCACTCCTGCTATCTGGTATATTGGGCAAGCAAGGCATTTCAAGTACAGGGGACTGCATGGAAAGGACACATGAAGAGAACAAGGAAGGAAGGATATAATGAGGGAAGCTATCTGATATATGTGGTGAAGGAGACAAGGAGGAATGGGATAAAACATGAGACACAGGAAGCAGGGGTGGCACTGGGGAAAGTCAAGGCAGCAAGGAGATGCTTTAAATATAACTCTGCAGCTGAGCACATCTAACTGAAGGAGCAGCATTGACATGCAGATAGCAAGCATGTGAAGTGCTGCAAAACAGAGTTTGTACATGGCTGTGAAGTGAGGGGGCAGCTCAGTCCTCACTATTCCAGGGCATTAACGCCAAACAGTACATCACGCATGGCACTGCTGCATGAACGTGCCATGAAAAAACCTAGTGTAGAGTTTATACGGGAGTCTCTGAGAAAAGCACTATGGGAGTCTCAGAGTTGCCCCAATGTCACAGCTTTACCTGATCACTGCACTGATAGATGTTTGCCATGCTCAGCAATTTCTTCTCCTTCGTTTTAGTGAAGGAAAATCTATCACAATAAATAAATTAATTAAATAAATAATCGTGGGGACAGGACCACAGGAATAGCAAGCGCAGCTCTAACCCAGTGCACAACAAGATACCTGTGTTCCACCAACTCCCTGAACATGGCAGTCTCTTACTTGAGGGCCGATATGGCTTCAACCTGCCTAGGTAGATATCTACCCAGAGCACAGCCCATAGGAATAACTTTTGCTATGGTACCATCCAAGTTCCAGGAGACAAGATAGCAATTACAAAAGTCAAACCCAGACTCTCCTATATACTCAAATATTTAAAAAGAAAAAACTACATAACTTACCTGGCTGGGTAACCAATCATTAAGAGCTGTAATTACTTAAATATTACAGGGAAACAAAGAACCTAGAATTCCAGGTTTTACAGGATCAGGCTAATCAGTTTAATGACCTTTAAAAAAAATTCCAAGCTTTGTTACTATCCCTCCAACTACAATTCACTTAAACAATTAGTCCTTTCTACATCTGTTGCATGCATTTGCTGCACACCACTCTGCAGGTGACATACAGGAAAGAAGGGAAACTGTTGTGGGGACAGAATGGTGAGGAAACTTTGCAGATGCAACAGAAGCTCACTCGGATGACTCAGTAGAATCTCCAAGTTCAATCCCCCATTCAATCACTGAATCCTTGCTTCTGACATAATATGCAAAGCTTCTTGTTTCTATCCAGGCATTTAGATTGGCCTCCAGCACCACAGCAGCATTTCAGGTGTGATAATCAGCTGGGAAAAGGCTGCCTTCTTTTAACAGGTAGTAGGTTTAATTATTCAGATTCTTTCCATAGTGTCTAGTCATTGGCTGAGCTTCACATCAGAACACAAAAAAGCTTCTAAAAATGTTTTACAACATGAAGATTTTGAAGCTATTCATCAGAACATTCTTTTTACATCCAGTAGATGTCAGCACAAAGCCAGTGTACACTGTAAGCCCCCTGATTCCTTAAATAACTTTTCTCTATATTTAAACCCCTCAGAGAGTATTTTAAATCAGTGGAGACCCCTGCTATGAGGCCTGTGCTCTCCTCCCTATGAATCCCTGCATGGGAAAGAACAAATATGGGAGCAATAGATCCACTGCATGCTCCCCACTCTCTTTTAAACCAACATGCAAGGACAGTTCCACAGATAGCAGAATAAAAAAGCCAGTAGAACACTCAATAGCTCCCAAAGCACCTACCATCTGGAAGGAGAAGAAATGCAATCTGGACCACTCATGCTCAATGACCTCTTAGGGGCTGTAGGTGGTTGTCTCCAGATTTAAAAGGGGAGCTGCCAGATGAGCATATTCTGCAAAAGACCCAATAAGATAGGGGAACTCGGAGTAGAGAATCAATTGGGGCTGAGCAGTTCTGGTTGCTGTGTGACTGGATATAATGAAATTCCTATCTGTGTGGGATCCAGGGATTTGTAAGAAGTCCTGAGACTACCTCAATTATCACCTGATGCGTTTTATATGGCTGGGATATTTACAACTGCCTTTTAGTGTGCTCTGCTTTGGCATATTGTATACAAACAAAATCCAGATTCCTTTCTTGCCTGCCTGGGATGTGCATAGGGCTAGCCATGCTTGTCAGGGGAAGCCCTGACAGCCTGCCTCTGCCGAGATGAGAGCAGAGCAGGGAACAGTAGGCTGCCCTCTATAGCCTACTTCTCTCCAGATTCTAAATCAGTTCTGCTAGAAATATCATCATCTTACCCATTCTTGTTCATGCTCCTCCCCTTGGGGTGAAAAAGGTTGCACAGAGCAAGGGTGGTTGACCAATTTGCTGTAGGGCAGAGGAGCTCAGACTTCATATAGAAATTCCTGCATTCAGGGGAGCAGAGCTTCCCTTCCCAGCAGATCAAAAGGAACGATGAGGTTGGGAAGCCAGGCCCTTTGAAGGAGGGTAGTAAGAAATATCATAGTGTTTCCTGGACCCCTCTTGCAGCAACTTCTCATGGGGGAAAGAGAGAATTGCATCCAACACTGGTACTTTCCAGGTGCACAGCGAGATTACGTGTAGGCTATGTCTACACTATGAGCTTCTTGTGGAACAGCAAATGCAAATGGAGCGCTCATTTGCATATGTTGCACTCTCATTTGCATTTCCTCTTCCTTTCCCTTTTGCACAAATGGTTTGTGTGCAAAAAAATGTTGTGTACATGGTGCTTTTTTGTGCAAAAGCCCCCTTTTGCACAAGAGCTATTCTTCCTCACTTTTTGTGCATGAGTCTGGGGCATGCGGTGGCTAGCTTCCTGAGGTGTAGTGTGTGTCTACTGCAGATACAGTCCATATTGTTATCTGTACTTTGTGTTTCTATCAGGGCAGAGCTACCAGGGATCTTTAGTGAAAGGATTTGGGTGGAGGAGCCAGCAGAAAAGTGAGCTATGACTGTATGTATAGGTACCAGAATTAGCAGCCAGCCTCATCCCTGCAGCACTAGGGAATAGTCGGATCTCCCGAAGGAAAGGCCAAAGGACACAACAGACACACAAATTAACCTTCCTTATCCTTCTGGCCCAGGTAGAGGGCAGGGGCATCCAGCCCCTCCCTTACACATTGATGACAGGCTAGACTGTCTGGGCTAGACATTAGCATTGTGTTTTCCTACTCCTGTTCCTCCTTGT